AGTTCTGCTTAAATGTATTTAGTAAAATAGTAAGTCTATCATTCTATGTTATCATTCTATTGTTGTTGATAGTGTAGTCGGCCATTTTAAGGCTGACTACGAAGTTGTGATGGACATTTCCATTATCAAATGACAGAATTAATAAACAAGATTCATTTAAAAATGTAGAAATGGCCATCCATGCTTAAAATGTTTTGTGAATCTTGCCTTTAAACAGGTTGAACTCATGGTCCAGCTGCAGCAACTTGAAGGCGCTTCTGGCTCTCCAACCCTCTTCTTTGGCCAGACGGTAGTAGATGTCGCGTTTGTCTTTAGATGAGCGACCCATCCTGATTCTTCACAGAAACATGCCAGCTATTGTCATGCCATTTTTAGTATAGAATAGAATAGTATAGAATATTCAGACAATACAATTGAACTCACACAGTAAATACAACACATGAAAACAAGATACATTTACAGACCTCCTCTTTAATTATTAGGCTGTACTATGAAATAGGTAATTTCACTGCAATATTCATTTACTGTTTTATCATATTTCATTTATGTAGGTCGATTCAAACAATCTCCATTTTTGGTGAGAGGAAGTATGAATATTATTTTCTAAATAAGTAAATAAATAGCTTAAATTTCCTTTGGGAATCAATAACCGTTTTATCTGGCTCTTTTGGTAACAAATAAAATATATATCAAACACATGGGGAGTAATCAACCAGCAGTCTGTTGCATGTGTGTCCACTAAATAGTGATGACTCTACTCCATGTGCATTTTGGTAAGTAAATCGTTGTGTCATTCGTGCTCTAACATGTGTTTATTACAATCCAAGGTCACAGTGGTTCAAGATTATTTTTAAAATATTATTAGATTCTTATTATTTTTTAGGCCGACCTTTAACAGTCTAAAAAAAAGTTCCCAAGGGGAAAAAAAACCTACACACACCACATATATGCAAGACATAATATTATTTTTTTGAGAAGATTGAAATTGAACATTAAAGTGCATCAGAAGTTGCTCATTAAGTTGCACCAAACCACTGATGGAGCAATGTAATGGGAATGGAATCAGTGTTATCTATTCCTACTGCACAAGACTACCTCAAAGCAACCCCCTGTCCGTAGACATTAATAATACTTTAGATGTAAGAAAAAATTATCTTTTTTTACTTAAACTAACTGAAAACCACTGCAGTAAAGTTAGCAACATATTCACAGATTCGAGCTTCCCGCGTCAATAACTCGTAATCGAGACATTTTTAAAACACAGCCAATGCCTCTTTACAACCGTAGTAGCTCACACAACGAACTACAACCTCATTTTTATCTAAATAAGCCGTCCTCTGCGCTGCTCCGACAACATTGATCTCTATGGACACTCGGCGTTGAGACGAGTGCCCAGGGACCATCAACAAATTTCAATAACGAAAAATTATAGCACAAAAGAAAATCAATAACTAAACTCTCATATATTGTAGCCTC